GACGCCCCGGGGCCTCCCGCCGCCCTGATGGCTAGTACCAGTAATTGACACGCCTGCACTGTCCCAGAAGAGGAATCTTCGCCCATCACATACCAGAGGTGCCCATTGTCTGCATTTTCCCAGGTGTGAATTATGCTTTGCACCCTTCGTGGGAAACTTGGCATTCAAAGCCATTTTTCCTAATTGGCCACTTGAGACCAGGAAGAAGCCTACGTGACCGAAGGGGTATAAAGAGGGGTATAGTAGCCCACCCCATTTGAGCTCCAATCATCTATACCTGCTGGCAGGTATTGATTGTCTCCCGAGGTCTGTGGGATGCCCAACCTCGCCCTACTTCTTCCCGAGGGATTGAGAGAAAGACGCTGGTCACGCCAAGTCTGGAACGCAGGGGTGAGAATATATACCTGCTAGGTGTCTATTTTGCATGCATTTAATAAGAGCTCAGAGAACCAAAGGGTTTCATGGGACCTGTAAGTGACTTCTTAGTGTAATTTCTGTCCTGTCCTTTGTAGTGGCTGTGTTATCTGTAACACAGCAGTAGCATTTAACAGCTAAGTTTACCCTGTAACAATAGAATAGTAACTGTTTAAGCTTTAACCTGACTCCTTCAGTTGCTGTAACAGAACCAAGCACAATTTAAAAGAACTTCAGCCGGTCATAAGGGACTCACTGCCCTGACCGTCGGCTGACAGGGGCGTGGTCTCAGGGGAGGGGAGTGGCTTCAGATGGAAGGGGCGGAGCTTTTGCTGCCTTCCCCAGCTGGGCCGTCACGCGCCACCCAGGCCTGGGACCGCTCAAACCAAGGAAGTGCCCCCGAGGGACCCAGCAGCCTGGAGTGACTCAGAGCAGCTCTGCGCTGGGGGAGAACGTCGACGCCGGACACGCGACTCCAGCCACGAGACGACGAGGCGCCCTCAGTGTGCGATTGAGTTGGTGCTTGCTAGACCTGCTCAATAGCATGCCGGAAAATCAAACTCCGGAGCCTTGATTTTCCTGGGAGTGCAGATGAGGGCGGAGCTGCCAGCCAGTCTGGGCAGGGCTGGGCCAGCAGGAACCGTTTGGCGTATTCCCAGCCTCAATGGAGCAGAGACGTATCTCCTCATCCCTCCCTGCGGCGCAAATCGCTCTCCTCTCCCTGCTGAGCTCCTCTCTCCTCACTGGCTATGCCAGGATCCCCTTGGCCTGGGCTGGGGCCGGGCAGATGGTCAGGGGAGCCGCGTTGGTGCCCCCGGCGTCGAGACCGGGACTGAAGAAAGGGCGCAGCGTCCCGGAGAAGGTGCCGGTGAAGGTGAAGAGATGGGACCTGTCAGTCACATTGTAAAACGAGACCTCGCCCGCCTCGTAGTCCAGGAAAACCCCCACCCGGCTGGGCCTGGTGCTCACGGAGAGGAGGGTCGGGCGGGAGGTAAAGGCCTTGTAGTCCCTGTCCTTCCGCCACACGACCCAGTATCCGTTCTCAGGTGTGTATGTGAGCTCCCCCTTCCTGCTCACAGATTCCCTGCAAACCCCCAGGTCCCAGGCAGGCTTGTCCCCCACCCCCACCTCCCAGTAATGCCTCCCGCCCACGAACCCCTCGGCGCCCAGCACACAGGGACAATAATCAAATCTCTCGGGGGTGTCGGGCAGATCCTGGAATATGTCTCCATCTCTCACGCTTTTCCGATCCTCAGACAGGACGAGCCAGGGATTTGCCGTGTCTGGATCCAGCGTCACGTCCACTGGGGAGAGAGTCACAGAGTCAGGGCCGGGGGCAGGGGCGGGTCCCTGGGGTCAGCGGGAAA